CATCTCTGTGTCTCTCCCTCTCTCTCTGTAACTCTTTCAAATAAAATAAATTTTTAAAAAAGCTTTTATTAAATATATATAAATATCACATAGTACCCCATAAATATGTATAATTGTAATGTATCAGTTAAAATAAAAGTAATGGAAGCCAAGGTGGATCTTTGGGAAATAGAGGGCAAGTGACCAGATAGAAGGAATGGGAGACTCAGTCTTAGACTGTGGGCCAAATCCAGACAACCTGGGTATGGTTTTCACCTCCCATAAAATTTCAATGCCTGACTCTCCCACCAGCCTATAAGCTTCTTGTCTTGTTTGGTGGAAGGATCATGAATATTTATTGCTTAAAGATAAGGTTTAGGGCTGGCACTGTGTGGCAGAGTGGATTAAGCCACCATTGGCAGTGCTGGCATCCCATATGGGTGTTGGTTCAAGTCCCAGCTGCTCCACTTCCCATCCAGCTCCCTGCTAATATGCCTGGGAAAGCAGCAGAAGATGGCCCAAATGCTTAAGTCCCACTTACCCTTGTGGGAGACCTGGAAGAATCTCCTGGCTTTGGCCTGGCCCAGCCTCAGCCATTTGGGGAGAGAACCGGAAGATGGAAGATCTCTGTCTCTTCTCTCTATATAATTCTGCCTATCAAATAAACCTTAAAAAAAAAAAAAAAGAGGGTTTGGGAAGCAGGGGTGATGGGGGCTGGAGAGTGAACGGACACATAGGGCAGAGAAAGAGACGGCCTGGGATGGAGAATGACGCTGGACTAGGATATGGGTGCTGAGCAGGGGCCAGCAAGCACCGTGTGAGGGACCTCGGTCTCAGCAAAGTCTGCTGAGGGGAACGAGGCTCCTGTGAACCAAACTCTAAGCACTGCGCTTGCTCTCCCGACATCCATCGTCTTAGTGAATTCTACGAGTGATCCGTGAGACGGCCATTGCTGTCTTCATTTTCAGGACACTGAAGTTCATGTAAGTTAAATCACTTACACATGACAACACAAGAATTTTTTTAAAAGACTATTTATTTGGAAGTCAGAGTTACAGAGAGAGAGGGAGAGACAGTGAGAGAGAGAGAGAGAGAGAGAGAGAGAGAGATCTTCCATCCTACTAGTTCACCCTCCAGATGGCCACAATGGCCAGCACTGGGAGCTAAGAGCTTTATCCTAGTCTTCCACTTGGGTGCAGGGGCCCAAGTACTCAGCCATCCTCTGCTGCTTTTCCCAGGCCATTAGCAGGGAGCTGGATCAGAAATGGAGCAGCAGAGACTTGAATTGGCATCCATATGGGGCACTAGCATCACAAGCTGGTCTGACCCTTTAAATCCTGCTGCCTCTCTGGGGTGGGATCGGGGGAGGGTAGGGTTTCTGATCAGTGGGGTGTGTGGAGACAGATTAAAGAAGTTCTGACGGGGCCGGCGCTGTGGCCCAGTGGGTTAATCCTATGCCTGTGGCGCTGGCATCCCATATGGGTGCTGGTTCTAATCCCAGCAGCTCCATTTCCAATCCAGCTCTCTGCTATGGCCTGGGAAAGCAGTACAAGATGGCCCAAGTACTTGGCCCCCTGCATCTGCATGGAAGACCCAGAAGAAGCTCCTGGCTCCTGGCTTCGGATCAGCTCAGCTCTAGCCATTGCGGCCACTTGCAGGGTGAACCAGTGGATGGAAGACTTTTTTCTCTGCCTCTCACTGTCTGTAATTCTACCTCTCAAATAAATAAATTAAAAAAAAAGTTCTGACATCTGGGAGATGGAAAATGGGGATTTTATTTTAAAAAAGATTTATTCATTTGAAAGGCAAAGTTACAGAGAGGTAGAAGCAGAAGCAGAGAGAGAGAGAGAGAGAAAGAGAGACAAGGTGGTCTTCCATCCACGGTCTCACCCCTCAAATGGTTGCAATGGCCAGAGGTGTACCGATCTTAAACTGGGAGCCTGGAGCTTCTTCCAGGCCTCCCATGTGGATGCAGGGGCCCAAGGACTTGGGCCATCTTCTACTGCTTTCTCAGGCCACAGCAGAGAGCTGGATTGGAAGTGGAGCAGCCGGGACTCAAACTGGCGTCCATATATGATGCTGGCATTACAGGCAGTGGCTTTACCCACTATGCCACAGTCCTGGCCATGAAAATGAGGATTTGATAGGATATTGAAGAATAGGGTGGGTAAGATGTGGCTCAGTGTGTCAATGCTTGTATCCCATCTTGGAGAGCTGGTTCAAGTCCCAGCTGCTCTGCTTCCAAATCAGCTTCCTGCTAATGCACTTGGAAAGCAGTGGAGGATTGCTCAAGTTCTTGGGCCCCTGCACCCACATGGGAGAACTGGAAGACGCTCCTGGCTCTGGCTTCAGATCAGCGCAGCTCCAGCTGTTGCGGCCGTCTGGGGAGTGAACCAGCAGATGGAAGACCTCTCTCTCTCTCTCTCTCTCTCTCTGCCTCTCTGTAACTCTGCCTTTCAAATAAAATAAATAAAATCTTTTAAAAATAAATAAGTAAATGAAAAACAAAAGATAGAAGTTTTGAAATTTGTTATAGCTTTAAATATTAACATCTGATACAATTAGAAATTACATTCAGATTTCAGGCTTTTAAAAAAAAAGGCTCTTTATTAAAAAAAAAAAGAAAGAAAGAAAGAAACCTTCTGGATCCCACTGGAAATGAGGTGGCTTCCCACGTGGGCCTGTCTGCTTGATGTCCGGTGCCCACCCATCCCCATGTGCTGGTGTGGGCAGCTGGAGACAGGGCACAGGTGCTATGCCGTGACTTGGCCTGCACAGCCCATGCTCTGGAACCGAAATGATAGGATGTACTGCTTTCTAAAGTGCTGATTACTAAACACACTGTCAACAATACTTCAGTCACTGTAAAAAAATAAAAAAGCACACACTTGCACATTCACACACACAAACCCCGAACAACACAGCCCAACACCTGCAATTATTTTTATGGGAAAATCATTGTTCAGATAAGAAAAAGAAATCTCTCTGTGGGACACTCAGGGCCAGGTGCTGGGCACAGCTAAGTCTGAGGAGAGATCCAGAACACAACTACTGTCTCTTCTTGTCCCCTCACCCCGCAACAGAAGTCAAGCCACCCACGGTGTCCAGGGGTCTTTCCTGAAAGGAAGTTAGGAGGGAAGGCGGAGAGCGCCCAACTTAAAATGCTTTATTTTAGATCGCCATACTTATGTCTCCATTCTTTTTTTAAAAGATTTATTTATTTGAAAGGCAGAGTTACAGAGAGGCAGAGGCAGAGAGTGAGAGAGAAAGTGAGAGAGAGAGAGAGAGAGAAAGAGAGGTCTTCCATACGCTGGTTCACTCCCCAAATGGCTGCAATGGCTGGAGCTATACTGATCCTAAGCCAGGAACCAGGAGCTTCTTCTGGGTCTCCCACGTGGGTGCAGGGGCCCAAGCACTCGGGCCATCTTCCACTGCTTTCTCAGGCCATAGCAGAGAGCTGGATTGGAAGTGGAGCGGCCAGGACTTGAGCAGGCGCCCATATGGGATGTCAGCACTGAGGCAGTGACTTTACCCGCTATGCCACAGCACCAGCCCCTGTCTCCATTCTTTTAAAAAATTTTTGATGATTTATTTATTTGAGAGAAAGAGAGACAGAGAGAGAGAGAGAGAGAGAGAGAGAGAGAGATCAGATCTTCTATCTGCTGGTTCACTCGCCAAATGGCCACAGCAGCCACGACCGGGCCAAGCCAAAGCCAGGAGCCAGGAGCTCCATCTGAGTGTTCCCCATGGCTGACAGGGCCCAAGCCATTGCCCAATTGGTATTTTTTGTATTTGTCAGCATTTTGAATGTCTGTAGGTTAGAATGCTCTTTCTATCCACTCCTTATTTCCTTACACCTGTCTGACTGCTGGAGGCATTTGATTTCAGAACCCTCTCCACTTGCAGAGATGGGAATTCAGGAAATATACTTGTCCAAGATTTAACAGTAACTGGACAATTCAAAAAACAAAATTCAGGGCTGGTGCTGTGATGTAGCAGGTAAAGCTGCTGCCTGCAATGCTGGCATCCCTTATGGGCACCAGTTCATGTCCTGGCTGTTCCACTTCCAATCCAGTTGCCTGCTAATGGCCTAGGAAAGCAGTAGAAGATGGTCCAAGTGATTGGGCTCCTCCACCCATGTAGGAGATCCGGATGAAGTTCCTCGGTTCTTAGCTTTGGATTGCCCAGCTCCAGCCATTGCAGCCATTTGTGGAGTGAACCAGGGGATGGAAGATTCTCTCTCTCTCTCCTTTTAAATAAATAAATAAATAAATTTTACAAAAATAAATCCACTGGGTTGGTGCTGGGTGTAACAATTTAAGCCACCACTTGCAATGCCAGAACTTCATACCAGTGTGTCAGTCAGTTCAAATCTCGGCTGGCTGCTCTGCTTCCTATCCAGCTCCCTGCCAATGTAGCAGGGAAAGCAGCAGGAGAGGACCCAAGTACTTATGCCTCTGCCACCCACATGGAGACCCAGATGGAGTTCCTGGTTTCTGACCTCAGCCTGATCCAGCCTTGGCCACTATGACCATTTGCAGAGTGAACCAGCAGATGGGAAGATCTCTTTCCTTCTCTGTCTCACCTTCTCTTTGCATCATTTTGCATTTCAAATAAATTAAATCTAAAAAATAAAATAAATCCATTCCTCCTGACTCCAAAGCACCACAATGCCTATATGTTAACAACCCATCTTCAAAGCTATTTGTACAAGTATATAGAAAAGATAAAAATAAAAATAAAAAACAAGTATATAGAAAAGATCGAGAAAATTAAGACTTGAGAAGTAGTGAACAAAGTGCAGAAAGTTAAGATTGAAGTATCTAAGAAGTGAGCACTTGGGTGGGAGGGATGGTAGTGTGGGAAGAACCACTATGTTCCTAAATTTGTGTATATGAAATGCATGAAGTGTGTATATGTTAAAATTCAAAAATAAATAAAAATTTTTAAAAATTTAAAAAGTGAACTATTTTGAAACAAATCAAGATTTAGGGGTGAAAGAACGAGCCAGAGGGTCTGACTGCACTTTTAGGAACTAGTTTTATTTGCGAAACCAAATCGTCCATTCTACCTCTACATCAACACTGTATATCCCACTCTGACCACAAGGTGTCGCTGCTGTCTTTAACTCTTGTTTATAGATTATTTCCCAAATAGCAATTGAGTCAAGAGGTGGGAGTGAGAGCATTGTCTTAAAGTGCTGGGCAGATAGCTAGATCCAGGAACATTTGGGGAAGGAAATTTTAAGGCAGTAGAGGTTCAAGGTGGCTAGGTTAGCAGGTGTGACGAGGATGGGGTTTCGGATGCAGTCAGAGTCTCTCCACATAAAAAGCTTTGCCCATCTGATTTAGTTCCTGCTGGTACTGCTGGTACTCCTTTTCAAACAGCTGGTGCAGGGCAGCTTGACGGACCTGGCAGGGAGGGCAGAAGAGAGTGCAGTGTTTGCTCTCTGTTCACCACCATTTCTCTTTCTCTCCCTGATTGCTTTCCCATCACTGTGTTCCCTTGGACCTGAGCTGAGCTGTGACATAAAGTTAGCTGGCAGCAGAGGGGCTGAACCAGTGGAAGGGAAGCCCCACGTTCACCAGAAAAAATCTCCTGAGAGCATCCCATGAGCCTGGAACTTTCTGCTGGACACCTGCTAAATACAGTGACATGACAGCTACCGGGGACTCCAGGGAGAGAGAGGGATACTCAGGCAGATGCAGCACACGAAGAGGCAGTTTTGAGTCTCACCAGGTCGAGGAGCAAAGACTAGAATGTCTTTTGGGACTTGAAAATGTGCCCCCTTTACGTTGGATGCCAAGAATCTACGGGAAAGAGCTCAGCATTGGAGTTAGAGCTGTAATGGTGAAATAGCCGAGGCTTGGGAGACGGCTGAGGAATGACAAGAGGCCACGAGCTCGGACACCCCGGCAGGGCAGCGCAGGCGGAGGCGGAGGCTGCCCGGCGAGAACGCACCATCAACAGCTGCTTGCTTGCCAGCGCCAGCTCCCGCGCCACTTCCTCCCGCAGCCTCAGGGCGGCGTAGGGGTTTCTCCTCTGGTTCAACGTCATCTGCCACAGGCAGCGAGTTCGGGAATTCCGCCACCTGCGCCAGGTACAGACGTGGGAACTGAATGGGTTAGAGCCAGGAGAGGAGACAAAGATATCTACCAGGGAAGCCACCTCTTTGCCAAGAACCTCTGTGCCACCTTAGAAGATTCCAAAAATCCTTAAATGAGTAACTACAATGGATTTAGAATCTTCTATGGAGGATACTATGTTATTTAATGATTACAGTAGCTATGTGGTATAATTATTAATTTTCTCATAAAGCAGATGAGGAAACTAAAATTGTGGTTTGTCCAAAGTCACGTAGTGGCAGATTTTGGTCTCAAATCCTAGCTTTCTTGGGGCTAATATGAGTATTTCTCCCACCACACCAATGATTCTCATCACTGGTCACACACTGGAATCTTCATTAAGGTTTTCTTTAAAATATAAAAAAATAAAAAATTTTAATACATAAAAGGAATATACATGGAGTCTTCAAAAAAGTTAATGGAAAACGAACATTACCTTTAAAAATATATATTTATTTGAAAGCCAGAATGACAGAGAGAGATAGAGACCTTCCATCTGTTGGTTCACTCTCCAAACACCTGCACTAAGCAGGGCTGGACCAGGACAAAGCCAGGAGCAAAGAACTCCATCCCTGACTCCCTCATGCGTGGCAGGGGCCCAAGCACTCAGTGCATCTTCCACTACCTTCCTAGGTGCAGTAACTGGGAACCAGATTGGAAGCAGAGGAGCAGGGACTCAAACTGGTGCTCGAATATGGCATGCCAGGATTGCTAGGGGCAGCTTAACCTGCTGGGCCATGCCAGGGACCCTCTCCACATTATCATTTATTCATTTATTTGAAAGTCAGTGTTACAGAGAGAGGAGAGAGAGGGAGAGAGAGAGCGAGAGAGAGACAGACAAACAGAGAAATCTTCCATCTGCTGGTTCACTCTCCAAATGACCTCAATGACTCGGGCTGGGCCAGGATGAAGCCAGGAGCCAGGTGCTTCTTCTGGGTCTCCCACATAAGTGTACGTGCCCAAGGACTCGGACCATCTTCCACTACTTTTCCAGGTCATAGCAGAGAGCTGGATCGGAAGTGGAGCAGCTGGGTCTTGAACCAGCACCCATATGGGATGCCAGCACTGCAGGTGGCGACTTTACCCGCCATGCCACAGCGCCAGTCCCCACACATTACCTTTAATTCCATTCTTCCATAGACTTTTTTGGAGTATCTTCCTATACATCAGATACTTATAGTATGTATATTTTTTTTAAGATTTATTTATTTATTTGAAAGTCAGAATTAAACACAGAGAAGAGAGGCAGAGAAACAGAGAGAGGGAGAGGTCTTCCATCTGCTGGTTCACTCTCCAATTGGCCACAATTGCCAGAGCTGTACCAATCTGAAGCCAGGAGCCAGGAGCTTCTTCCAGGTCTCCCACACAGGTGCAGGGGCCCAAGACCTTGGGCCATCTTCAATTGCTTTCCCAGGCCATAGCAGAGAGCTGGATTGGAAGTGGAGCAGCTGGGTCTCAAACTGGCACCCATATGGGACGCCGGCACTGCAAGTGGCGGCTTTACCTGCTATGCCAGAGTGATGGCCCCATAAGTATGTATTTGTATATATACACTGTTGACATTTTTAAACAAATTGGGGGGCCAGCACTGTAGTGTAGGGGGTAAAGCTGCTGCCTGCAGCACCGGCATCCCATATGGGTGCCAGTTTGAGTCTTGGCTGCTCCATTTCCGATCCAGCTCTTTGCTACAGCCTGGAAAAGCAGAAGATGGCCCAATACCTTAGGCCCCTGCACCTGTGTGGGAGACCCAAAGGAAGCTCCTGGCTCCTGGCTTCAGATTGGCCCAGCTCTGGCTATTGCAGCCATTTGGGGAGTGAAAAAGTGGATGGAAGACCTCTTTCTCTTTTTCCCTCTGCCTCTCTGTAACTCCACCTTTCAAATAAATAAATCTTTTAGAAATGGAAGTATTTATTTCACATGACTAAAAAATTAAATTCACATAGAAATACATTAAATGTACATCTTAAGGAGGTAGACATTTGATTTAGTGTTTTTTTTTTTTTTTTTTTTTTTTTTTTTTGACAGGCAGAGTGGACAGTGAGAGAGAGAGACAGAGAGAGAAAGGTCTTCCTTTGCCGTTGGATCACCCTCCAATGGCTGCCGCTGCAGCCGGCGCACCGCGCTGATCCGATGGCAGGAGCCAGGAGCCAGGTGCTTTTCCTGGTCTCCCATGGGGTGCAGGGCCCAAGCACCTGGGCCATCCTCCACTGCACTCCCTGGCCATAGCAGAGAGCTGGCCTGGAAGAGGGGCAACCGGGACAGAATCCGGCTCCCCAACCGGGACTAGAACCCGGTGTGCCGGCGCCGCATGGTGGAGGATTAGCCTATTGAGCCACGGCGCCGGCTTGATTTAGTGTTAAGCTGCCACTTGAAATGCCTACATCTCATACCAGAGCGCCTGTTGTTTAAGTACGTCCCTGCCTGCTCAGTTCTCCATTCCAGCTTCCTGCTAATGTGCATCCTGGGAGGAAACAAGTAATTTTATTTATTTGAAAGACAGAGCATGAGCATGGGGCCAGCACTGTGGCGGCAGTGGATTAACACCCTGGCCTGAAGCGCTGGCATCCCATATGGGCGCTGGTTCTAGTCCTGGCTGCTCCATTTCCGATCCAGCTCTCTGCTATGGCCTGGGAAAGCAGTAGAAGATGGCCCAAGTCCTTGGGCCCCTGCACCCACGTGGGAGACACAGAAGAAGCTCCTGGCTCCTGGCTTCAGATCAGCACAGCTTCGGCCATTGCGGCCATCTGGGGAGTGAACCATTGGATAGAGGACCTCTCTCTCTCTCTCTCTCTCTCTCTCTCGCACTCTCTCTCTCCCTCTCCTCTCTCTGTATAACTCTGACTTTCAAATAAATACATCTTAAAAAAAAAAAAAAAGAGCAAGTGAGACAGAGTGAGAGCACGCATGAGACAGAAAGAGACAGAGACAGAGAGATTGCTTTTCCACCTGCTGGTTCACTCTTCAGATGCCCACACCAGTGAGGCAGGCCGAATCCAGGACCTAGGAGCTTCCTCAGGGTCTCCCACGAGGGTGGCAAGGACCCAAGTACTTGAGTCATCATCTGAGCAGGAAGCTGGGTGGGAAGTAGAGATGGGACTCGAACTCGGACACTGGTGATATGGGAAGAGGTGCTCAAAGTGGTGTTGTGGGCATTTGAAGAATGAATCAGCAGGCCGGCGCCGTGGTTCAATAGGCTAATCCTCCACCTAGTGGCGCCGGCACACCGGGTTCTAGTCCCGGTTGGGGAGCCGGATTCTGTCCCGGTTGCCCCTCTTCCAGGCCAGCTCTCTGCTGTGGCATGGGAAGGCAGTGGAGGATGGCCCAAGTGCTTGGGTCCTGCACCCCATGGGAGACCAGAAGGAGCACCTGGCTCCTGCCTTCAGATCAGCGCGGTGCGCCGGCCGCAGTGTGCCAGCCGTGGCGGCCATTGGAGGGTGAACCAATGGCAAAGGAAGACCTTTCTGTTTCTCTCTCTCACTATCCACTCTGCCTGTCCAAAAAAAAAAAAAAAAAAAGAAGAAGAAGAAGAAGAAGAAGAATGAACCAGCAGATGGAAAAGCAATCGCTCTGTGTCTCTTTCTGTCTCATGCGTGCTCTCACTCTCAGTCTCGCTTGTTCTTTCAAATAAATAAAATTACCTGTTTCCTCTCAGGATGTACATTAGTAGACCCCAGACTGTGAAATCTTGAAAATAGTCTTCTCCTATCCCATCCCAGACTATTTTTTTTAAAAAGTGTGTAGTCGTTCCTTATTTTGGTTTTAATTTGATATTCTGTAAAGACTAATAATATTGAGCATGTTGTGCTTACTTGCCTTTTTTTTTTTAAAAGATTTATTTATTTATTTGAAAGTCAGAGTTACACAGAGAGAGGAGAGGCAGAGAGAGAGGTCTTCCATCCTATGTTTCACTCCCCAATTGGCTGCAAAGGCCGGAGCTGCACCGATCTGAAGCCGGGAGCCAGGAGCTTCTTCCAGGTCTCCCACGTAGGTTCAGGGGCCCGAGGACTTAGGCCATCTTCTACTGCTATCCCAGGCCATAACAGAGAGCTGGATCGGAAGTGGAGCAGCCAGGTCTCGAACTGGCGCTTCAGGTCAGGGCGTTAACCTGCTGTGCCACAGCGCTGGCTCCATCCCAGAATATTTTAATCAGAATCTCCCCAGATAAGACCTGGGTTGAGTTTTTTTAAAGCTCACCAGGTGGGGCCTCTACCTCTCTCTGTAACTCTTTCAAATAAATAAAATAAATCTTAAAAAAAAAAATTGGATTACTAAAAAAAAAGCTCACCAGGTGAAATACGTATGCAGTCCAGTCTTTTGAGTCTCCTCATTCATGTTTTCAACAAATAAATACTGCAATAACTAACAAAAAATTAGTAGAAAGCTGGGCAAGAAACTTGACTTTTCCTTAAAAATAAGTGGGACGGGCCGGCGCCGTGGCTCAATAGGCTAATCCTCCGCCTGCGGCGCCGGCACACTGGGTTCTAGTCCCGGTCGGGGCGCTGGATTCTGTCCCGGTTGCCCCTCTTCCAGGCCAGCTCTCTGCTGTGGCCAGGGAGTGCAGTGGAGGATGGCTCAAGTGCTTGGGCCCTGCACCCCATGGGAGACCAGGAGAAGCACCTGGCTCCTGCCTTTGGATCAGAGTGGTGCGCCGGCCGCAGCGCGCCGGCCGGGGCAGCCATTGGAGGGTGAACCAACGGCAAATGGAAGACCTTTCTCTCTGTCTCTCTCTCTCACTGTCCACTCTGCCTATCAAAAAAAAAAAAAAAAAGACACTGGTGGGGATGCCTGCAGGCCATATTGGAGTGCCTGGATTTGAGTCTTGGCTCCACTCTGGGTTTCAGCTTCCCGCTAATGTGGATCCTGGGAGGCAGCAGTGGTGGCTCAGATAATTGAGTGGTGGCTCAGATAATTGCGCTCCCACTACACATGTGGGAGACTTGGATTGAGTTCCTGGCTCCTGGCTGTGGCTAGCACCTGGGGAGTGAACGAGAGAATGAAGCTCTGTTTGTCTCTGTCTCCATGACTCTCAAATAAATTTTTTTTTTTTTTTTGACAGGCAGAGTGGACAGTGAGAGAGAGAGAGACAGAGAGAAAGGTCTTCCTTTTGCCGTTGGTTCACCCTCCAATGGCCGCCACGGCCAGCGCGCTGCGGCCAGCGCACCGCGCTGATCCAATGGCAGGAGTCAGGTACTTATCCTGGTGTCCCATGGGGTGCAGGGCCCAAGCACTTGGGCCATCCTCCACTGCACTCCTGGGCCACAGCAGAGAGCTGGCCTGGAAGAGGGGCAACCGGGACAGAATCCAGCGCCCCGACCGGGACTAGAACCTGGTGTGCCGGGGCCGCTAGGCGGAGGATTAGCCTAGTGAGCCACGGTGCCGTGGCTCAAATAAACCATTTTTTAAAAAATATTTACTCAATAGGCAGAGAGACAGAGAGAGAGAGAGATCTTCCATCTGCTGGTTCAGTCTCCAAATGATCACAACGGCTAGGACTGGGCCAGGCCAAACTTCATCCTTGTCTCTCACTGGGAGTACTTGGGCCATCTGCGGCCTTCCCTGGCACATTAGCAGGAAGCAGATTGAACGTGGACGTGGACTAGCCAAGGCTTGAACTCGTGTTTGATATAAGATGCTGGTGTCACAAGCAGCGGCTTAACCTGCTACACCACAATGGTGGCCACAATAAGTACATTTTTATAAACTTATTTAAAACATTTTTTAAAAATAGATTTTTTTAGGGCTGGCGCCTTGGCTCACTTGGCTAATCCTCTGCCTGCAGCGCCGGCATCCCATATGGGCGCCGGATTCTGTCCCAGTTGTTCCTCTTCCAGTCCAGTTCTCTGCTGTGGCCCAGGAAGGCAGTAGAGGATGGCCCAAGTGCTTGGGCCCTGTACCCGCATGGGAGACCAGGAGGAAGCACCTAGCCCCTGGCTTTGGATCTGCATAGCTCCGGCCGTAGCAGCCATTTAGGGGGTGAACCAACGGAAGGAAGACCTTTCTCTCTGTCTCTCTAACTATCTGTCAAATGAAAAAAAACATGGCTTCTTTCGATTTTCACCCTAGCTTCATTGAAAAAAAAAAAAAGATTTATTTATTCATTTGAAAGGTAGAGAGAGAGGAAGAGACAGAGATCTTCCATCCACTGGTTCACTCCTTAAATGGCCACAACAGCTAGGACTGGGCCAGGTGGAAGCCAGGAGCCTGGAACTCCATTCAGGTCTGCCACATGATTGGCACAATACTGGCCCCAATAAATACTTTTCCAATAAAGTAAAGCAAACATCGGCTTGCCCCTGTGTCCCGTCAAGAGGGAGGAAAACAGGGGGAAATAAAACCGTACAGTCTGGTGGACTAGCCGAGTGGCCACTAGGAGGCTGATCTCTATTTGCTTTGAGCACAAGGCTGCTTCCCCTCCTCATATTCCTTGATGAGACCCTGACATGATGAAGCAGAGTTGGGAGGGGGCAAAGCCGAAGGGTCGGAGAAGGGGAGGACATAGAATTACCTGTCAACCATCTTCTTAAAGTCCGTGAACCTTTGAAAATTCTGCAAGAAAAGAAGTTGTGCTGACCTGCCGTGATCTCCAGAACCTCAGCCTCAGTACCCTCTTGCAGTGGGAGACACACAGGCCTTCCTCCTCGGAGACAGGCAGTGGTCAGATTGTAGGGGAAGGAGAAAGCAAGCTCTCCACCTTCACATGCAGGGGCTGGGGTATTCACCTATTTGAATACCTACTAAATGCTGGACAGTCTTCCACTCCTGTTAGTAACTTCATCCTTCTGTGACATCAAGGGCCTTTCCCAGTAATGGTGCACTTCTGGGCAATTGGCCTGGAAACCTAATTAACATACTTTCAGCCCAGCCCCTCGCCCAACTGCACGTACCTCTTCTGTCTTCATCATCTTTTCCATGGACATGTCTGCAGACTTGTTTGATTCAGTCTTAGACTGAGTAGGCTCTCCTTTCTGTTTAGCTGTCACCGAGGTTTCAGTAGTCATAGCAACATTTCTGCCTCCCAACAATGTCCCTGAGCCTGCCAGTGGATTGGTCACCCAGCCTGTTGGCCTGGAGACCCGAAGGTAATCCTGGGTTTTAGCCTTTTATTAATGACACAGGCAGCTCTGTGAGCAAGTGCCACTGTCCCTATTTCAGGATTTCTTTTGTTGGGCTTCTCAACTTACCTGTATAGTCCTAGGTCCAAGGTATACAGAGCCCCAACAGTTCTCTATAGGCAAATGTTCATACCTTATCAGGAAGGTGCAGAGAACATATCGTATACCCATTTTTAAAGACTATTCCATGTGAGCACTTGGTCTAGCAGTTAAGATGCCCTCGTTCCTCATGAGAGTACCTGGGTTCAAGTTCTGGCTCCCTCCCTGATCGCAGCCTCTTGCTGATGCAGACCCTGGGAAGCAGCAGGTGATGGCTTGAGTGGTTGAGTCCTTGTCACCCATGTGGGAGACTTGGAACGAGTTCCAGACTCCTGGCTTCAGTCTGGCCATTGTGGGCACTTAGGGAGTAAATGCCCACTTTTAAATATATATACACATACATATTTATATAGATATATATATATACACACACATATAAGATTTTATTTGAAAGGCAAAGTTAGAGAGAGAAGGGGAGAGAGAAATATCTTCCATCCACTGGTTTACTCTCCAGATGGCTGCAACAGCTAGGGTGGGGACAGATTGAAGCCAGGAGCCAGGAGCTTCTTCCAGGTCTCCCATGTGGGTGCAAGGGCCCAAGTACTTGGGCATTCTTCTGCCATTTTCAGGCATATTAGCAGGGAAACGGGACTGAAGTGGAGCAGCAGGGACTTGAACCAGCATCCATATAGGATGCCAGCGTAGCAAGCAGAGGCTTAACCTGTTTCACCATGTATATTTTTAGTAATTCATCTTATTGAAGTTATTGTATAAAATCATATCAGTGCATTGGGAAAACCATTTCTTCACACACATAGCCTGGAGTAAATTATGGCAGGTGTCAGAAAATTTTTTTCACAGCATATTTTTAAAAATTTGAGTTAGAGGGAGAGAGATCTTTTATCTGCTGGTTCAACCTTCAGATAGCCTCAATGGCCAGGCTGAAGCCAGGAGCCAGGAGCTTCACCCACTTCTTACATATGGGTACAGGGTCCCAAACACCAGGGCCATCTTCCAGTCCTCTTCCAAGCCACCACCAGGAAGCTGGATTGGAAGTACACTAGCAGTGACTTGAACCGCCACCCATACGGGATGCTGGCATCACTGGCAGCAGCCTTACCTGCTACACCACAACTGCCTAGTGGATAGGATGAGTCTTGTCAGGAAAGCTGTTAATCCTGGTTTAACTGGAGTACCAGTGTAAATTGTTCCACCCACTGCCTCATCCACCAGTTCCTGTCTGCCCTTCTGAGACTCCGTAACTCAAACGGTTCCTAATCAGACACAAATGGCCAGACAGATGAGACCTCATCCCAGCTCTCACATCAGGGATTAAGTCGCCAAGAATGGAGCAGGAAAACCATGCCCAAAACCAAGTAAATATTTTTTTTATTAAAGATTTATTTGAAAGCTGGAGATGGAGGAGGGAGGGGAGGTTATGGGCTGGGGGAGAGAGGGATATCTTCCACCTGCTAGTTTACTTCCCAAATGGCCACAATAGCTAGTTGAAGCCAGAAACCAGGAACTCCATCCAGATGGCCTCCATAGGTAGCAGGAGCCCAAGTACTTGGACCATCTTCCACTGCGGTCCTAGGCACATTAGCAGGAAACTGGGTTGGAAGTGGAGTAGCCACGATTTGAACAGCCATTCCAATATAGGATGCCGACGTAATAAGCAGTGGCTTACCCACTGTGCCACAACATTGGTGCCAAATTATATTTTTAAAAGACATTTTTTTTTAAAGATTTATTTGAAAGGCAGAGTGATAGATCTCCCATTTGTTGGTTTATTCCCCAATCACCTGCAATAGCCAGGGTGGAGCCAGGAGGAATTCCATCCAGTTCTCCTATGTGGATGGCAGGAACTCAAGTACCTGGGCCATCATCCACTGCCTCCCAGGTGCATTAACAGGTAGCTGGATCAGAAGTGGAGTAGCCAGGACTCAGACTGGCATTTCAATATGGGATGTGGGTGTTCCAGCGCCGGCGCTTGATGCACTGCACCATGATGTTTGTTGCCAACCAAGTAAAGATATTTAAGGAAGCTTTGACAGAAACATTAACAATGACATACGAACTGAAATCCAGAAAAAGTGCTACTAGTGGAAATAAAGTCCGAGTTGATGTTCTGAAAATGCTCCTAATAATGAGCTGGAGATCACAGTGCAAGCCCTATGAACCCTGGACACAATGTGCGCGTCAGCTGATACATCGGGGCCCAGCGAGCGCCTGTCTTGCACACTGAGTCTGTCTGGCTCAGTCTACAGTGAGAGTCCTTCAGCTCTGTCACAGAGTACTCTCCAGTGTGTTGTAGTTGTCCTTAAAGCTCTTCAATTCGAGGAAGTGCTTGGCACGTTTACTCTTCTGACTGGAGGGGAGGTACGTCACCTGGATGGTTGTTGGGGAGACTTCAGGGGACTGAGTTAGGTCTTTGGCTGCTGACTGGTGTTGTCGCTGAGAGCTTCCAATTCGCGCTTTCACCCTAAGGAATAGAGAGGGGAGGTCATGGACTGAATGAAGACTAGCAGAATATGGTTTAGGGCTTATCCCATCGCATAGATAACAGTGGTAGCCACAAAATCTGTTTTATCTTGTAAACTAGTTACTAAAATTCCATCTGATAGCTTAGTAAATAAAAACAGAGAAACCAGTTGCCTCTGCCTCAAGGTTTCTCCGTCTCACTATGAGTTGCTTGAAAATTAAATGTCAAAAAATAGGAATAGCAGGAGCTATTGGCACTTAACACATTAGGACATTACACCAATATCCCCTATATTATGGTATAACCTGTTTGTATATTAGGGAACTGAGGGTCCAATAATTATCTTGCACGAGGTCACAAAGGTAGTGAGCAGTAGGCCTGGGTTTCAGATTTATATTTGTCACATTTTAAAGCTTATACTCTTTCACTACACCCGCTCAAAGTTTCTAGAAACCGGAAGTCAGAGACAGAATTTCAAAAAATGTGGTAAAATACCCACAACAAAATATATCACTAAATACTTCTTTATTTACTTTTTTAAAAAAATTTGAAAGCAGCTGAGAGACAGATGAAGAGAGAGCGGACAGCGAGTGAGTCCAAGAGAGCACTCCCCAATCCACTGGTTCATGCTGGGCTTTTCTGGACAGGAAATCAATTACATGAGCCATCACTCTTGACTCCCAGGGTCTGCATTAGCAGGAAGCTGGAGTCAGCAGCAGAGCCAGACATTGAATCCAATTACTCCACAGAACACAGGCAACTTAACCACTAGGCTAAACACCAGCCCCGAACCACTTTTATTTTTTAGAAAAGATTTCATTTATTTGAAAGGTAGAGTTGCAGAGATCTTCCATCCATTAGTTCAGTCCCTAAATGGCCACAACAGCCCACGCGCTGGGCCACGCTGAAGCCAGGAGCCTACAAAGCCATCCATATCTCCCACGTGGGTGGCAGAGGCCCAAGCACTTGGGTCATCTTCTGCTGCCCTCCTAGGAGCATTAGCAGGGAGCTGGGTAGGAAGTGGAGCAACCAGGACTTGAACTCCTGCTGGAGTTGCAGGAGGCAGCTTAACCTGCTGCACCACAATGCTACCTGCCCAGCCATTTTTAAATGTACAGTTCACCAGTGTTTTTTTTTTTTTTTTTTTTTTTTTTCTGACAGGCAGAGTGGACAGTGAGAGAGAGAGATAGAAAGGTCTTCCTTTTCTGCTGGTTCACCCCTCAATGGCTGCTGCGGCTGGTGCACCATGCTGATTTGAAGCCAGGAGCCAGGTGCTTCCTCCTGGTCTCCCATGCGGGTACAGGGCCCAAAGACTTGGGCCATCCTCCACTGCACCCCCGGGCCACAGCAGAGAGCTTGACTGGAAGAGGAGCAACCGGGACAGAATCCAGTGCCCTGACCAGGACTAGAACCTGGGGTGCCGGCGCTGCAGGCGGAGGATTAGCCTAGTGAGCCGCGGCGCCGGCCTACCACTGTTAAGTACACTGATACCATCATGTAACCAATGTCCAGAAGGCTTTTTAACTTGCAAAACTGAACTCTATACCCATTAAAATATAATTCCCATTTCCCCCTATACCCAGCCCCTGGCAATCACCATTATACTTTGTGTTTGAGTGTGACAACCTACGTACCTCATAAGTAGAATTATCCAGCATTTATCTTTCAAAAAGACTGAATTTTGAACAAGTTTCTACCTGAGTTCTAGTCCAAATACCTTTTTCCAGCCTCTCTAAACGTTAATCTTCATCACTGCTCTAGTTTTTACTATTTGTCTTTAAGTGTTAATTGTGCATTTTTATTTAATTGAAAGGCAGAGAGCGTGCACGCATGTGCACTCACACACATAAAATCTTCTATTCGCTGGATCGTTCCCCAAAAGCCTTTAAAGCTAGGGCTGGGTCAGGCTGAAGTCAGGAGCCTAGACGTCAATCTGGTACACACATGAGTGCCAGGGACCCATGTACTTGAGCCATCACCTGCTGCCTTCCCAGGATGCATGTAAGCAAGAAGTTGGATCTGAAATGGAGGCAAGACTCAAATCTAGGCACTCCTACATGGGATATGGGAGTCCCAAGATCAGTGTAACCGGTGTGCCACAATGCCCACCAACAGGACTCTCCACCTTTAACAAGGTAGGTCATTTTTAGGGGCAGAGAAAATAGGACAGACATCTCTCTTCTCAAGAGCCATATTTAACACAGTAGCATGTATTATCTTTATGGCCGGTAACAAACTTTTTTATTCTAGTCAACTTTCCTTTTCTAACTTAAAGTTCCATTTAATATTTGCATAAATAATAATGAAACTATGTTTAGTACATATTTAAAACATTTCCAAAGCAAAGTCATGATTTGTCACCTATAGCACAGATGCTCAACAGCTGACTATAATGACGTCCTGTTTCAGACAGGGTTACTGACACATTAACTGGTAAAAGAGGAAAAAAAGGTACCGCTTTCTCTGATTAGACCAGGAAACAAAAGGACACTGGGACTTTGTAACAGAAGGAACCCTTGTGTGCTGAAAACTTTATTCCCTTTGGTAGACTATACAAAATTCATATTTTATTGGACAGATATAAAAAAAAGCAATAGGAAAAAGATGCACACAAAGTAGGGGTTTCTCTTATTATATAGTAACTTCAGCTTTTTCACATAAACAAGAAAAAGTTGTATTAGTATCTAGCACCTTACAACTTTATGTTTTTTTTTTTTAAAGATTTTGTCACATTTCTTTATGAAGGTTATTTCACTATGGGAACAGTCTAGTACTAGTTATAGTCTCCAGCCCCCTTGGACATGTTCCCCTCCAAACTCACACGGTGGCCAGCTCACTCAGGGCCTCCTGATAGCGCAGGTACTCATTCTGGCCAAAGACCTTAGGAAAGAGAAAGGAAGAGTGAGGCTCTTTCAGTCTGGGGCGGGGGTGGGATTAGGTAGGGGGGGATCCTCCAGCTCCTTCAAAGAAAAACTGGCCATCTGTCTTACCCCTGTCCCGTAGCGGGCTGTCTCATAGCCGTCCAGCAGGGTATCGATGAGGGCCTTGCGCACACCCTTGAAAGGAGTACTAGTGTTTCGCAGATCGAGCAGGTAGGAGCGGAAATTCTTGCCCATTAAGGAACGAGGATGCCGGCCTTCAGCACGAAACGGGATCTCTAAGGAGATAACAGCACAATGATACCTCTTCTACCATTCTTTCTAGTTACTTTCCCAAACTCAGAAATAGGTCTAATGAAATGAGTGAATTGGAGTGAAATTCTAATGGAATTAAGAAAACCAAAGGTATGCGGCTGTACCTAAATGGCCTTAGCGGTAGAAGCACAACTGTAAGCTA